TCTCTCACCCCCAGACAACCCTCTCTCACCCCCAGACAACCATCTCTCACCCCCAGACAACCATCTCTCCCCCCCAGACAACCCTCTCTCACCCCCAGACAACCATCTCTCACCCCCAGACAACCCTCTCTCACCCCCAGACAACCCTCTCTCACCCCCAGACAACCATCTCTCACCCCCAGACAACCCTCTCTCACCCCCAGACAACCATTGTCCTCCACGGACAACAACAGCTATCCTAAAAAACCTCAACCTTTGCCCGAACGCGAGTAGTCCAGAAAGATGTTCCCGCTGGACACAGACTGATCTTGTTTCATGCATAGATCACAGGTTTTCCTTGGATGAACACTGACATGACATGATCAAAACTTTATTGTTCACATCAACTTTTGAAGTGTCTGCATAGTTCTGAGGGTTACCATTCAGGTAGGAGACTGACCAAGATCCTCCACTTAGTCCAGATTTCTTTACAGTCGCTTGGCTTTATCGGTCCAAGCAGAGCACGGAGCAGTTTTCAAAACTCTGGAAACTGCCACTTGGTTCCCCCCCCCCATCTGATCTCTTAAATTGCTGTTCCTCCTTGACATCATGACATCAAACTATCTTGTTATGTTTAGGCAGTGTACTTGAGGCATCTGAGGAGAGAGAGGAAAAAAAGGGGGGGGGGATGGTGGTTTAGAAGAGAGAGAAAATTTACATTATTTACAGTCAACTGTTACATTATTGGTCAAAACATCAACCCTTGTATCAACATATTTAATATACATTCAACTTTTTTAAACATCTACCAGAACTGTTTGCCCTCAAACTCTTAAAATCGTACAATATCTTAACAAAATCGTTCAATACCTTATATTTGTAGTAAAAAATAAACATACAGTATATATAATGTTTACAGCTCAAAATCGTACATTGTACGCCAAAATCGTAAGAGTAAACGGGTCTGATCTACCCACCTTTCATCCCCATATTTACTAAACACTGAACATCTACCCACCTTGTATCCACATGTGTTCCTAGGCACTTGACACAACAGTAGCGTGCCCCACACTGGACACAGGTATAATTTGATGGGAACGTTGCCAAGGTCAAGGAAAATAAATGACATGTAAATTATCTTTTTTTAAATTTAAAAACATGGGATGTCACTTTCTAAAGTTTAACCAGCACAGGAACTCTTCAATTGTTCAGTTTGCACCAAGGGCAAAATATAGCTTAAATATTCTCAGTGTAAACTTAGCTTCAAACTGTGACTGAAATAGACTGATAAACTTCAGAGCAATATACAATACATTTTGAATTTTAACTCTTAGATTTGTCTAGAAGTTTTTAATACTCAGATTTGGAGGGATAAATGGCCTAAAACTTGATCTAGAGTTGGGTTCAACATCCTAATAGTCCACCTAGTGTTGAGGTCAACATCCTAATAGTCCACCTAGTGTTGAGGTCAACATCCTAATAGTCCACCTAGTGTTGAGGTCAACATCCTAATAGTCCACCTAGTGTTGAGGTCAACATCCTAATAGTCCACCTAGTGTTGAGGTCAACATCCTAATAGTCCACCTAGTGTTGAGGTCAACATCCTAATAGTCCACCTAGTGTTGAGGTCAACATCCTAATAGTCCACCTAGTGTTGAGGTCAACATCCTAATAGTCCACCTAGTGTTGAGGTCAACATCCTAATAGTCCACCTAGTGTTGAGGTCAACATCCCACAACTCCACCAAGAGTTGGGGGTCATCATACCACAACTCCACCAAGAGTTGGGGTCATCATCCCACAACTCCACCAAGAGTTGGGGGGGGTCATCATACCACAACTCCACCAAGTGTTGGGGGTCATCATACCACAACTCTACCAAGAGTTGGGGTCATCATCCCACAACTCCACCAAGAGTTGGGGTCATCATCCCACAACTCCACCAAGAGTTGGGGGTCATCATCCCACAACTTCACCAAGAGTTGGGGGTCATCATCCCACAACTTCTACTTCATACATAAAGCTCCAAACACACTGCCACATCCACTAAGATCACTTCTAACTTTATTTAAGCCACATTATGTTCATAAACAAAAATATTCCTGTCACTTTCCCCTAAACCTCCAACCTTTCATTGCACTACAACAACAAATCAACTAACAACAGTTCTCTTGTCTTTAAGTCAGGCTAACCCTAGTTTACAGTTTTCCCATACAGCAACGCGACTGAACTAAAACATTTCTAATAAAAAGAAATTATCATTTAGCTTTTGCCGGAAATCCCAACAAGTGCGATAGTCTATTCATAAACATCACCGGTCAGAAATAGTTATTTTGAGAGTTGTTTTTTTTAAACATCAATAATAGCAAGGATATCCACACACGGCACAGAAATGTCTTTCTGGTAGCTTGGAGGGTGGGGCACAGGCAGTGACGTAGGACGGGCCATCTTTATTCAACATGTGCTGTGGAAGAAATGAATAAACTAAGTAAAACAATTTATTAAATATTAAGTTCACTCAAGCAGTTATAGCAGCTTAAATTTATAAAATAAAATATATGCAGTAAGGCATTGAAAAAAAAAAAAATCAGGTATATATTTATATATATTTTAACCTCTTCGCTACCGATAACATCGACGCGGCGTCACGATCACCCACTTTCAATTACCAAGGACGTCACATTGTCGTCGCAACAAAATTCAAAGAACTTTTCTGAAATACCGAGGATGTCACATCGACATCATATTTCAATGCTAGATATTTCCTAATTCGTTAATCTATAGAGAAGTCCCCCCCCCCCCCAACCACACACACAAAACCAAAAGTTTTTTTATTGCAGAGTCAGCAAAAATCTATGCCCCAAAACCCAGCAATAGCGAAAGGGTTAAATAGGGGGCGCAAAGCTTTTTGGTCATGGGACTACCACATTATTGACTAGCTCAAGAACATATACAAAACCCAAGTCATTGGTTCATCTAACTATTCTTTGCTTTTAGTAAGTACTGGTTAATAGATGTTTCAGGGGAGGCCAGGGCGGCAGGAGAGAAACCCATGTGACAACAATGTTATACGGCTCAGCTCAGAAGATGGAGCTGGTTGCCCAGGTACTAGCCGAGGTTTTAAGAGTGTAAGTTCAAACCTTCATCAGAATATATATGTATGTACGTTAGTAAATACCAAGTATGCCATAGGATGAAGTTTTACACTAAATCTGTAATAATTATTTTAACAATTTCATAATACTATTTTATATGCTATATGGTAGTTTGATTTGTCAAAAATTAAATATTATATACTGATTTGAAGAGAACTTGTCAGCGTGTATGGCTACATTAATTTTAAGTAGGTCACCAAACAATTTGATTTTTTAAATCAAAATTTAGAGTTCAGCCAGTATTTTAAGACAGCAATTGGTAAACTTTAAAAAAAAAAAAATTTCTTTAAAGAGGTGGAAGAAATTTTTCCAAGAAATATGGTCACTTCTGGTTATGTCCAGATTCAATCAGAGACATCTGGAAATTTTCATAGTTCCAATTTTAGTCTTTTCCTATGCTAAATCTAAAAAGTGTTGCAAGTTTAGTGCAAAAGCTAAGTCCATAAAAATTCAAAAACCTAGATTTTATTATGAGAATGTTCTGATTTTACAAAATAATTCATCATTAATAATTTTTAAGAGTTTAACATTAATGTTTTTGTGAACGTGATCTCATTTATTTATCTATCTACACTATATTTTCTTCAAATTAATGTGTCATTCATTTAATGTGTCATTCATTTAATGTCTTATTCATTTAATGTGTCCTTCACTGCAATTTAAAAATTCCCCTTAATCCAAATAATTGTTCTGCCAAAATATTAGCAAAAAACCTGGTACCTAATTTAAGAGAGGCCCAGGCATTTTTTCTTTTCTCCTTAGCTATGGAGTTTTTGGTATGGAGTCTATGTAAAAGCAGTAGAAATAAATATAACCTAACCTCTTCTTCCAATAATGCTGCAAATGTTTTCCTGTACCTCAGTTTGAAATCCCCTTTGGATTTTCTCTTTTTCTTTGGACCTGGCCCTGTTAAAAATAATAAATTGAATAATATTTCATTGACCATACATTCATGTCACTAAAGAAATAATATTTGAAAATGGAAAGGGGTGCAAATAAAGGTGGGGGAATGAAAATTATTATTTTTGTGCATATTAAATCCCCTTAAGGTAACTATGTTTTATATTTATTTTTAACTTATTTTCTTACCTGACCCATCCATGGCCTCTTCAAATTTTGGGGCCTTTTTGCTCATTTTAAGGTCAGCATGAGGATCTTCTGAAAAATTGTCTTCTTCCAAGGCCTCGAGTGCCTTACGCTGCCGACGTCTTCTTGCTGCTTCATCCAAAACACGTAACTGTTGGCCATCTTTGATACGAACTGTTGGGATTTAATTATACATTTTGAAAACAACACTAAACCATTTTTATGTTAAGTATTTTGTGAATAGTATAATTATCTTTTTATCAGGACTTGTTCTTGAATACCAGAAACTTTAAATCCGTTAATTACAAATGCCAAAATATTTTGGACACATTTTTATCCCCCTCTCTCCCATGACAATCTGTCACAAATCTTACACCCCCTCCCCAAAGTATGTCACACTTCCAAAATAAAAAAAAATTGTTTTAAAAATTCACAACTAATTAAAATTCAATCTAAAATATGCTTCACTATTAAAATTAGACACTACGAAGTAACCAAGTGACATTTTCTTTCAGATTACATCCAGCAAAACAGAAAGTTAAACAAGGCACTTTGACAGAAATTTTACATAATGTCCTATTGCGATATATAATCATTGTAAAAGGTTTGCTGTAAGCTTTATAAAAACATCAATTTCTTTTTCTAGCTTTTAAAGAAATAAAGTTTTTTTAAATGAATTTTTTAGTCCCCCTTATTTATGTTTGTATTAAACTGCAAAAAACTTGTGACCGACTTTCTAAATTTCTGGCCTTATTTTGCTCAAAATTATTTTATTTTAAAAGATAATGCTACCAAATGTTCAGGAGACATTCTCAATTAATATAAAACACAATGAACAAAAAAACTTTTACAAAATAAGACTTTTTTTTTTTATTTTTGATAATTTTATTTGAGGGTAGTTTAAAAAATCCTGATCATAAAAATTGTAAAAAATGATTACTTAAAGAGGCAACATAGTAAAATTTTAAAACAATTCTAATATTTATACAAGTTAAGTAGAATTCTTTTTAAAAAATCAAATTGTATGCATGAAATTATAAATTATACAAAAATAAAAAATAAAAGCCCCAATAAGACTAATATTCACATAAGTGTACAAGTATGTGACTAGAAGATGAGGATGTTCGGACTATCATTTTCTGCTCTAGACTGCTCTACAGACATTTTGTCTTGTTGATCAATCCTACAACCTCTGCTTCATAAACTGTGTCTTCATCATCTACGTACAAACATGCCTCATTGGAAATTGAAAGAATTCCGAGTTCTGCAAAAGAAAATTAAAATATTCTCTTACTTGAAATAGAAGCCAGAAATAGAACTAATCATAATCCTGAATTTAAAATTTCTATTTTAAAAAAAATATTATTCAAGTTTTGAGATCATTAAAATTTCTTTTTTTCTTCAAAAATCACCCTTCCCCCAAATCAACATGCTTTATATTAATAGAACTGAGTGAAAAAAAAGGCTGTCAGGCAGTGAGCATCATATCATGCCTGAAGCTTGAACTCAGGTAAATATATTGATTTTTTTCTTTGGGGGAGGAGTCTATTATATTAATCAATAAAGAGCCACTGGTATGGTGAAGGAGTGTCAGTAGGGCTATCTTCAAAAGCTGGTAGGTAGGGTGTAGGACTGTTCTTAGGTTTACAGTTTAAAACACATTCCTCTTCCTGTCTCTCGGATACTACATTGCAGCTAAGCATTATTTTTAATTTCTTTTTACTGTTGTTTGTTCGCTAATTTATAATAGTATTGCAAAAATGTTTCCCATTCTTTAACTGATTAGTGTTGCAAAGATGTTTAAAGATGAACAATAACGAAAATCTTTTTACATCTTTATATTAAATTGATGAGAGGAGCCATGACTGATAACCCATTATCTTTTTTTGCACAAGGACGACAAGGTGTCTACTGGTGACAATTTTCTTATAAATTGGGAAATTGCTATAATTAAGTAAATAATTTTTATTCCTGTTTGTGAATGAATGAAGCAGTAGCGTAGTAATGCCCTATGTCTCATGATTATACTTTAAAAAATTTAACGCTATTAAGTACATACCTATGCTGATACATCAGAGTAAATGCGTTGCCAGCCACAAAATACACCATGCAGCAAAAATAACATCACCATGTTTGGAAAAATATGCACTCTACATTACTGATTACAAAATAATTTATTATTAGAAAACTGAGACGTAAAAATGCAAAAAAAATTAGATCATGACCGAGCCAAATGCTACATTGCAATTGCCATAAAAGTTTTTGCGCCATTATTAGACATGTGCAGATGGATGTGTGTATGATTATTGTGGTACGTATTTAAACATCACTTATGTCAATTTCAGCTGTTATATGTATGATAACAAAGATATATATATATATATGTTATAAATATTATATATATATGTTATAAATATAAATGTGTGATGTCATATATATGATCTAACACCCCCCGCCCTGTCACTCTTAGAGTACTTTGACCCCCCTCCTGAGCGTGACATACGTTATGGATGGCCCTATAATCACACTTTGAGTATAGTTTAAGTCTAGAGTCAAATTTTCTCCAGTTGAATGTCTCAAAAACAAAAGAAATGGTTGTTGATTTCAGGAGGGGGAAACACCTGATTACAGATCTCAACATAAAAAATCATAATGTGGAGAAAGTGGAGGCATACAAGTACTTAGGTGTCACCATTAATAATAAGCTAACATGGCATGAGCACGGCCAAATCCTGTATAAAAAATTCAACCAAAGACTGTTCTACCGCCTATTTTGGCGTAAACAAAAAAGTCATTAACTTATTCTACAGTGCAACTATTGGAAGCCTGCTTAATTTCAGTATTACCTGCTGGTGTGGAAATTCAATGTCTGATATTAAACACCGCATAAACCGACTAATCAAGAAAGCTAGAAACATAACACAAAATAAACATCCTTCACTTGAAGAACTATTTGAAGAAAGATGTTTTTGCAAAACTAAACACATTTTGGATGATACATCCCACCCTCTTCATCACAGATAGTTAGGATCCGGCCGTTCGGGACGAATTCTTTTCATCAGGGCGAGAACTGACTGATATAAAAATTATTTTGTTCCTCAATCTGTACGAATTTACCGGCGTGCTTCTTCTGAAGTCACACATCTGAATTGAGAACTAATAAATCCCCGATTTTGCTAAGAGAACTCACTGAATGGCTGTTTGAAATAATTTATTATAAATGTCTTGTGTTCAAATTGTTTTATTTTTGTGCTGAAAATGTATAATGAAATCAAAAAACATTTCCATTTATTTGGATCAATTAAAGTATCTTATCTTATCTTAAATATTGAAATAATTTTCTTTGACCTCTTTTAAACTTTTAACAAATATTACACTAGGCACTTTGGTAAACAGTTCAAAACATGTTTTCAAATATAAAAATATTAGAGCTGTATAGAGCCAAGAGATTGGATTACAAAATCACCAAGATCAACTTTCTAGCTCATGTGGTTCAAAAGTTATGAATTTTTTAGTAAGGACTTCAAAACCACTTTTTTACTATGGAGTTTTCTTCCACACTTTGTGACCCAATATTTTGCTTTTACGCCTATAACTTTATTATAAAATGAGATAAAAATATAATATTTATAGGGAATATAGTTAGATGTAAGAGTTGAGTTGTATTAAATAAAGTAATGAGGTTTACATTTAGGTATTGTTAATTTCGCAAAAGCTTTATTTATGCAGTCAAGAATGATCGCCATGATGACAAATTACAGAGCCTTAAAAAGGTGACCTCTTTGATTTTCATTTTTTACCACAGCCTTCGGTCTACACTCATGAATTTTGGATATGTTATAAATGATGTTATTGTTATAAATTAAAGCAACCATTTTTTTTTAATGGCACAGTTTTAAAAAAAAAAGTTTACCTATAATCAACTTCAAAGCTTTAAAAAATTATCAAATGAATTCTCAAAAGGACAAGCATATCTCGGCTTTAAGTAATTGGTGGATGTAGAATTTATTATTATGCTAAAAATCTACTAATAAAAGGCGAAACAATCACACCCTCAGTAAATTAAAAAGTGGAGGTCGACATTTTGACAACGAAACTACCATACCCGATTTTCTGGTGTTTCCGGGCGATAATGAAGTGCTTAATTACAGTCACTGTCATCCTGATTAAAATAAGCTGTGAGTCTGTGTTTGTCACTGTGACCCTGTCATTTGTTAGGTACTTGGGTAAACCAGTTTTCTGCTAGTGTCAAATAATTACAGAGTAACGTGCCCCCTGTTCAACTTTTTTTCCACTTCAAAATGTAAACATTGCATATGCATTGGGAAAAAATGTGTTTTGTGGTTGTTTCTTTATTAAATAGTAAATAGGTAGTGTGATAAATCATTTTAAAGAGAATTGGAAGCCGAATAATACTGTGTCTTCAGATTTTTAATCACGATTGAAAAAAAAAATATATATCAAGTTGAATTAAGCTAGTCTACTACTTAATTTCTCGTAGAGACTCCACCAGACACGATTTTCATGATAACCACTGTTTAGAGCATCCAATTATCTACAAGAATGGGCAAATTAAAAGTCCCCCCAACCTACCCCAACGATTTTATTAAATTTTCTAAACAGTCACCACATGGGTGTTTCTTCCTTGGATATCATTTTCAAGATGGCCGAATCCACCTCAGCAAATCATTTTTAAATCTTAAGCAATCTGATTAATAAACAATGTTAAAAGCACTATTTTAAGTTATTTGAGATTAATATTATTAATAAAGAATACATATGAATAGATATTTAATTATAATTCTTTATTTAAATAGTGAAACTTCCCCATAATAGGTCTATTAGTGAGTTTGGCCTTAGCTACCTGACACATTTGTAGCATGGAAATATTAAGAAAAGTATATTTTATCTTCATAATAGATTTAAAATTAAAATTTCTTTAGTATTTAGATGAATTGATACTTTGAAATGCTTCACACACACAAAAATACTTTGTTTTATCTTTTTAAAGGCCTATCAAATGACATCATAATGTTAATCATATTTGCAATTTGTAGGCCTTAGTTGAAGCAGCACAATTCTTTTTTAATTGTAGGGATTCTATGAAAAACAAATGCTACACTTAGCAAAAAGAATATAGAATTGAAAGATACCCCCTATGCAAGAAAAGCTCCTGCTATAATCTACATATTGTACATTTTAATATCCGAAAATTGATTTGCTATCGGCGATATAGAATAAATTAAATTTTGTAATGGACACATTGGTTCACCCTTCCATACGCTACTTATTATTTTCCCCCTTTTCAATTACGAACAATTTGATATACATGACCCTATATTTTGAAGAATATTGTTCATGTTGTGTTCATATTCAAATATGACATATGGAAATTTTACGGCCATTTTGAATATTAATGAGCTCATCTTGCGTACCATAGAATTTATTGTATGACGTCTGTTTCGATAATGTTATGACAATCACGGGTATATATGGTTTGTTATGGTTATCTTCATTAAGTCATTAAATAACTTCAATTTACTGCTCTTACTTTATTTTAGTCACTTTTCCTATATGTCCAATTAACAGAGTTATCCCAAAATAATTCACGAAAAAAATCATAACTTTCTTTAGAATTGACCTACAAACATAAATTTGGTATCAATGAATTGCATTTTTCAGGCCCTATCTAACCAACTAGCTCTTAAAGCTATACCTTCATTTTGAAAATTTTACCCTACATTTGTATTTAATTAATTTACGAAGTGTCTACACATCCGGAGCGCCGGACATGTAGTGCGCAAGATATACGTCCGGCGGCTTGTCACGTGACCGCCGGATGACTAGTAGTTTTTATAATTCCAAACGAAGTACAGTTTAGTACGTCTTGTGTGGTCTTGTGGTAGAGTGGTTGCTTGACGATAGGAAGGTTTGAGGATCTATACCGGGGTTTGGGTCGTTTTTTTTCTACCCATTTTAATTAAAAATATTTTGTATATATTTATATTAACATGTTCCTCAGCAACAGTAGTTTCATGAGAAGTTTTTACATATTTTGTAGCAATTTAAATAATTTAAAATGAAATCTTTTACTTTAACTTTTATTGGTTGCCTACGCCTACTCCACACTGGCCCCTAATTTATTTTATGGATTACTGGTACACAAACTCAAATAACAAACTAAACAAAAATGTTTACAAGCCACTTTCACTTAAGGTTTCTTTTTCTATTATTTGCATTCAAGATACTCAGTACATTACTTGGTAGAGAAATAGATTTTAAAATTAACAATAGTTTTGAATTATTCGCAGTCACGTGACAAGGCTGACCGACAAGATATCTCTCGCCACTTTGTTACGGCGGTCATGTGACTTGGTCGCCGGACACATAGTGCGGGACATAGACGTCCGGCGCGCCGGACGTGTAGACACTGCCATTAATTTAACTTTAACACACCATTCTTAGATTATTTTAGATTTTCCTTTTAGATGAACCTTCAGATTATGAAGATTTAACTCACTGTGACTGAATACACTGAAGTTTCTGAACTGAGTAACAGTCAATCATAGTCAATGATTGCACTCATTGTGTGTGAGTCAGGGCTTAGACTAGACTGACTAGAGCCAGAGCTAGATTGGACCAGTAAAATAAACAAGTCTACCTGAGAACTGATTGAGAGTGAATCCAAAACAGAAACTTAACAAAAAACATCCAATGACGTCAATTGTATGAATTGATCGAGTCGGCTTTTTTCTTACAGTTAGAGTGATTTTTTTAAATTACAATAATTATATATCTACAGTAAAGAATTTCTTTCTTTTCATACCCGACTCTCGTTTGTCCGCCATATTGATCTTCTTAGCGAAAATAGTTTTTGTCCAAATAGGGTTTTAATAGTTTTTCAATAAGGAAGAGCTTAAGATTTTGAGGAGTGTCCCCGTAAACATACTTTAACGACAATTGGTTCACGACAGAACGTACACAGACATAAACAATTAAAATATGACTGATTAACTTTTAAATTACCGTATAAATATTAAGTTAATTAATATGAATATGACAAAAAAGCTTTGCTAGAGATGTTATGATGGATTTCACACAATTATATATTAATCCCAATGGTCTTGCCAAGTGAAGTAAAACGTTTGTGTGTAACATAAAGAATAGACATTCATAAATTTTTTTTTTTTTTTTGGCCAAGAAGCAAATATAAGCTGACTTAACTGCTCCCCTTCCTTTAAAACAAAGGGCAACCTGCCCCCCCCCTTACACTCCCAACTGTTTGCCATACAATGACACCATCTCCCACAGCGTATCATTCAGTTTGGGTATGTGCGCGCAGAGTGAAAAAAAAAAGTGTGTGGGGTTGGGCAGAAATCCTGGGCAGAAAGTACGTACGTTTATGGAAAAATGTACAATAATCGTCTTGAAATTTTAATGGTCCAAAAATAGCATGTTTATATCTGGAATGCTTTAAAAATATCAAGCAATGTTTTGTATGAATTCTCATCATAATTTTAACTTGTGTTTTCACAAATGAACTCGCTAGATATCGCTCAAATTCAAATAGTACTCAGTAGTATCAGTGTTACATTAATATTTCGTCCAAAGTATATTCAACATGGGTGACATAATATCTCTCTCCCACCCCACTCGGCTGCGCCAGTGGTTCCTCAATTATTTTTTTTTACTGAGTTCTAGCGCATATGACAAATTTAGGTTTCCACCAGGCGCACTTTGTTAAATTCTGAGAAGTAAAATTCGAAATAGCGAATACCGGTACATAAGAAAAATTAAATAAATGGTTGGGTAAAAATCTTGTAACTGCAAAACAGTAGATACTCAAGTGTTTGCCCCATGGCCGCTAGATTTCAATTTGGATTAAAAGTGGAAATAAAATTGTGAAAAGTGTAATAATTCATAGCACCCCTGTTAAGGAAGCCGCCCAGGTCAGAGCCATGCCGAGGGAATACGACACCTGAGGCGAAGCCGGAAAATTGTGCCACTTAATTTATAAATATATTAAAGGGTCCTTAAAGTACGCGCCAACATGGGGAGGTGGGTCGAAAAGTTGACTTATTTGCGTTGCGTAGGATAACCCTATAATCCTAATTGTCGGGGCTTGACACATCTGGGAACGGTATTTTTATTTCTTTATTTTTTTTGCAAGCTTTGGATGGAGAATTTTGGGTAAGTTCCCAAACATTTTCCCCAAGACTTGACCAATGTTCCCTCCAAGGTTTGTTGGTTCGTGTGCAAAATCATACAGTTGTGTGCAAAGTTTTACATCATCAATTTTTGTGTGTGCAAAATTTTACAGCCAACAAACACAAACACACACTTACATGGAAATTTGCTGCGCGGATACTCAAAACTGCAGCGCGGCGTCTGTAAGATAGCTGCGCGGCCGCGCAACCGTGCAGCTTAAAGGGATCGTTGGACTTGACCCTTGTTATTTGTGTTACCTCATCCCAATCGGTCCAATATTTTCGGAATCTATCAGTGTTTTTAAATTTTTTAAAAGTCTAGATACAGGACAATTAAGCCCAAAATTTAGAGTAGCCTACAAATTACGACGGTAGGTCAAATATTCAAAGATGTTAGGCCTACCCCAAGATACTGATAGACCGACACAATGCCAGCCAGCGACACCAAGCTGGTGTGTTGTAAAAAAATAAGGGGAGATTGCACACTCCCTCCCAGTGTTACCAACTCAATCAAATAAAATTCACAGACAACCAATTTAAAAGTTCTTATTGTTTTTATTGATAAACATTTTTTTTTTTACAGACACATTTTGTATTGATTTTTCCCAGTTGAAATTAAAATATTTGTGGCTTATGTATGACGTAGGCTATATCTCTATCAAGTACCGTATGCCAAAATCACATGACTCTATATCGTATGTGACGTTAATTTTTTGAATGGTCTTCTCATCCCTATTTAATTTATCACGATTAAGTCTATTAAAAAAACAACACATGCACACACAAGGAAATTATCATACAAATGCTGAAAGTTCAAGGTTTTGTTTCGCTTTGGAACAATGTAGGGCCTATCTCATGTTTAACGAACATCGTACAGTTATTAGGAACTTTTACGGACAATTCATTTTATGTTTATTTTATTTCTGCAGCCTTGAACTGTCCCCGCCCCAGTTGTTGCCCACCTGCACCCGGCAGTGTTAGGCTTTAACTAAATACTATAACGAGCTATGTAAATTTGGGGGGGGGGGGGGTTAAACTCAAGGACCGCCCCAGATGTCACCAACCCTTGCAACATCACTGACCCCAGTCCGGCAGTGTTAGGCTTTAACTAAATACTATAACGAGCTATGTAAATTTGGGGGGGGGGGGGAGTTAAACTCAAGGACCGACCCAGATGTCACCAACCCTTGCAACATCACTGACCCCAGGCAAAAATGTGTAACGTAATATCAGCCAGCAACTGTGAAATCTTTAACTTCCACCCCCTGCACGTCTGCATGTGGAATTAAATGTCACGAGATACACTAACTACGCCATTAAAATGGCGGTGTATGACTCACAACCAAAATTAATTGCCAAGTCGGTGGGGGGGGGGGTGTAGACCTATAATTAAACAAACCTTAAAAACATTTTTTTTTTGGTATAAATCCTTTATATGCACTTTTTTGTGTCACGTGGCAGTGGCTATCGTTCTTAAGAGATCATTGCATAATTCCTTCATCTTCCCAATGAAAAACAAAGGAACAACTGAGTTTTGGGGGGTGGGGCTGAAAATTTGATAGAATGTTATGTCATTGGCGATGAGTATATTCCAAGTTTCAGCTCGATGGGAGGACGCGAAGTGGGCCAATTAGTCTTCAGTAACTTTCAGAGACATTACATGAAAGAAACACACCAACAAAAACGCATTTAATATAATTATTTGGGGGTGGGCTAAACATTTGACCAACACATTTTAAAAAAAAAATTTAAACAAATAAACGAATCAGGGTGATGGAGTCTTAGTCCAGGAGTCAAGATACCTCGTAAAAGATAGGAATTCGTGAAATCAGCACCTGTACTTTTGAAATCATTTGTATTAAGTTCGCTTTTGTTCGTGGGTGGCTGGCTGGCAAATCGACACACTAAGAGTTCTGTAAAGTGTTTGTCTCCGCGAATGCCGGGGATAAACATTGAGGACTACAAGGATTCTATTTTCATGCAATGAATTCTACAGGCAGAGGGACCCTGCAGACAGAGAGTGGGGGGAAGTGGTGTAGCTAGGGTTAGTGCCCCCCGGGGAGGGCCAAGATATTTTGCCCCCCCCCCCTTCCTCTTTTCCACGAAAAAAGGATCTCTGCTGTTTACGAAAAAAAATGTCACCCTTCAATATAAAGAAAAAATGGCGTCTGGGGTGGGAGGTCAGGAAACGTGGAAGGTTCTAAGGAAAAAGCACTATGGTGAACATATCCTTTCGGTTTTAATAAATAGTATTATGTTATCACAGCCACGGTTCATCACTTTTGTTAGCACGGCGATCGAGTGGTCCAGCTTTATATAACAAATTGATTAGGCCCAGGTTATATGAAATCCAGAAACAGATTTTTAGATACTTCAGGGATTAAACCTTGTCTAGGCCCAAAATCACACTGAGCTTAACCATATTTCAGCAATTTACAAAATTACTAAAAAATGAACCATACCATGTTAGAAATCTTAAAAATTACTCAGAATCCGACCAAATCATCTCACAACTTTTCCATATTGTCTCAAAACTTGACAAAATCATTTTGAAAAAAGTTGAAGTGTAAATGACAACTATACAATTTCTGAATTTAAATAATTTTGAAGGAAAAAATAAACTGGCAGTGCTGATTCACTTGCTAACTAATACCCCAGTTGTATTCTGGTCCACTTACTTTTACAACAATCTTGCACTTTGTCACTCATCAGCTCCTTGATCTATTTCACAATTTAGAATTTAATTACCGGGAACTAAAATATTACCAGAGGCGTGTCTCTAGGGTTGGGGCAAAAAAGCAAAGGGACATCTGTCAAGCGCACAAAATAAGTGAGAAAGTTATTAAATACCTCACCCTTTCCTTTCAATATCAAAAAGCTACCTGAAATGTATACTTCACATTACATTATTTAAGTTATTACTCAGCTTGTTAAAAGCTGTTAAAATATGTTTGATGCCATGCTAGTATTGTGTCAATTCTAAAATTTGAGGGAAAAAAAACTCAACAGTGAAAGTAAATTGGTAAAAGAAATTCCATCAGGTGAGATGTGTAAAGCACTTAAAATATTTGAAAAAAATATTTTTCATTTTATTATAAATGAGGAATACCTGGTAGCTTTTAGGAGTATTACAGTACAATTATAGACAGTACATTTTAGTGTGCAGTAATGCTTCCTTTTTTAGTCATTAATAAAAAAAATAGTTGACTCTTTTCATGGTCATGTGCAGTAGAATTAAGTGCACATATTCAAATATTTCCATGAAAGTGTGCAGTACAATTAGGTGCAATTATTAAAATACTTCCTTAATCATGCACACAATTAGGATTAAGTGCACATCTTTTTTTTCACGGACTTCTACTTCTAGGGTTGTATGGATCCAGGGCAAAACTAGCAAAGAGTGCCCTCTGGCAAGGTTTACACACAGACAAAATCACTCAATCAAATCAAATCAATTATTTTACCTACAGACATTTCGTCACTTTTAAAACCATAAACTCAACCAGAAAAACAATGACTTTTATTTATTTTATTATTTTTTTCCAATCATTTTATGAGTTAGTGTAGCCAGTACAATCAGTGATAGTCATGGTGGTTGCCAAGGGAACGTACAGAAACAACCATAATCCACAGACTGTTCAAAAGATTCCTCAT